GTAGGGAAACAACCCATCTTTTAATTGTTAATAAGATGTGAGACTAATTAAAAATTTGATAGTAAATTAATATGATTATCCTATATGAGGGAAATTTAAAACAATTCCTTTATTTTAATCTAATTCAATAATAGCATGTTTAATTCAAATTAAATTTTAAAATAAATAAATATTTATTTATTTATTTTAAATAAACTAAGCGCAAACTAAAATCTTTCACGTTTTCTCTCTTTTCGCACCTCTCTGCAATTGCCTAGGGTTTCTCCGAGCCATCGAATTTTGCAGTTCCATCTGGTACACTCTCCTTTCCACTTCTTGTTCTAATTCATTGGGACTACTTATGTTCTTAATTTCGTTAAATTCTAGTTAGTGTCCTTTAAAATTTATTGAGGTTTTGTGTTATTGATGAAGGTTATAGTTGATTATGCAGTGTCGTATCTTTCTTCCCCCTCGCAAGATTCTCGTGCGCAAGCTTCTGAACCTTTTCTTTTGTTTTTCCTTTTTGTGATCATAAGCGGTTGAATTTGTGTTGACCTTGTGTTTTTTTTGCTTGTTTTGTGCAGAGGTGAAGCTGTGGAAGTGCGATTTTGATTTACTGGTGAGTTTACGCTTCTAAATTTTCTGACCGGTAGGGAATTGTGCTTGTGGTTGTGAGTTTCTGTGTTGTTTGAAATTGTATCAATTGGTGAATGATGATTAACTAATTTTTTTTTCTTCTAGGGTTTCTGTTTTTGATTTGCTTAATTTAGAAAAATAATTATTTCATATGGGCGTTTCATGAGAGTTTTACAAATTGCATAAGTGTTTGTTTTGCTAGGGAAAATGGATGAATTTTATTTTCGCTGTGTTTTTTAGGGTAAAACTTGAGATGACTGTGTTCATCTACTAGAATTGGATATTCATCGTGCTTAGCTTTGATATTTAATGGAATCTTAAGTCTCAAATTATTGAGTTGGAAGTCCAATTCTGATTAGAAAAACTGCACCAATAGTACCATATGTACATTATTTAAGTTTTGTCCTTTTGTTTTTTATGGTACCATTGCATGTGTTAATTGTTATGTGGTTCATAATTGTTGTCTTTGAAATTTTTAGAGAGTAATCAATGCCTGTTGGTCGAAGATGGAAAAAAATAAATAGAATCCGAGGTTGAGGTTTTGTGTGTTTATCAGCTTTAGGCAGGATGGTTTTGGGCTCAATCAACTATTGTTTTTCATTTGTGTAGCATTTTTGTTCATATATATGATATGCGGCATGGTCCTGTTTCCATATGCTTGAATCTGTTACCAGCACCTCGTATTTGTTGCTTTTATTGTTGTGGTCAAAGTTATGCCTTACTTGTATCGCCAAAAAGCATTCCCGTAAGTAAATTGGCATCCTTTTGTTGTCTGACTCTTTTTGTGGCTTTGCTGCATAGTTTGCTTATCATAAGCGGTGCACACTCTGCCTACTACACCTATACTAGTATATTATATTACCCTATCAATACACGAACCTCTTTTCTGGCTCCCATAAATAGCTTTTAAACGAGGAACTACCTTTAGAAATTGGGGCCTTAAAAGGTTAAAAACTTAATTTTATCTTTCAATTCAACATTCTGTTTCCTCTTCCATCGCTAACCTTTTTATAATAACTTTACTGTACAAACTTTGTAGATAATTTTCAGGTTTAATATTAGGATCTTCAGGCAAATTACATATGCAATTTAATATTAATATTATTCTGTTTCCTCCTTTGTCGTCTTAAAGTGCTAATTGATATATATATATATATATATATATATATATGCGTTTGACATTTGCTCTGGATTCTATGCAAATTGTGAAGTATTACTTTAGAATTTGAGTTGCTTGTTGTTTAGTAGTTGAGTAAAATAAAACTGGCAATGTTAAGTGTGCTGGATGAGTTATGAGTTGAGAACTATGTTGCTTTCATTACTAGGGAATGATAATGAACCAAAGAAACAAAAAGAACAAAAAAAATCTAGGGTCTTGTGGTGGCTTGGAATGGTGTTTGTTAAGGTTTATATCCTACTCTAGCCTTGATCAGCTTTCTAGACAAAATTTTGTTTGCTACGATAAAAAAAAAATACTGAACTGTGATGTTCTTTAATAAATGGTTGTGCTGCTAAAAAAGTTAACATATGAAGCCATTGTATCACCCACCGAGGCTTCAGAGGTGTTTTGTGAAGGAATTTTTTTAGTGTGTCACGACACTACTTTTGAGTTTATATCCCTGTTTTGATGTGTCTTGCTTGTGTAAAAAAATATCTGGTTTGCCTGCACTTTCGAGTGGCATTTATAATGATAGGCTTCATAAAACTTTCAAGTATTTAAGAAGAATGTTTACTTGCATTTCTCCAGTCTCAATTTGCGTCAACTGCTGTTGGACACTGGCTATCACTTAGAAATTCCAATTCAGTTATGTTTTAAATTATAACTTAGAAATTATTCTTTTCTGTAAGTTGGTTATGACATTATATAAATTTATAATGCAAATATGGTCTTATGAAAACACTGCAGATACAGAGACAGCTAGGGGACAACAAGTTCCGCAAGAATTCGAATTGAAGCATTCAAAACTCTGAGGGTGCTTGTTGCTAAGGTAATGTTATGGATATGCTTTTCGAAAAGGTTCTTACAGTTAGGAGCTATTTACTTTGAGAAAGTTTTTTTTGCTTATTTTGTTTTCACAATGAAACAGGAAACAAAATCTTTTATAAACATTGACCCTTTAAGGCTAACCCCTCTTGCACCGAGTACTACCCCAGATGATTCTGACCATGCTGTTGATGATGCTCTTGATGACATAGCAGAAGACCCTTAATTAAGCTTCTTTATTTTACTTGTTTCAGGATATTTTATTGTATTTCACTATTACTTTGTTGAAGTTTAAACATTTTATGTTATTATTGTGTTTTTAGCATACTATATTGACATACTTATATTTTATTTAGTTTTCAGTATAATATAAATTCTCATCGATAAGATTATATCTTTTAGTATGTTTTAGTTTATTATTATAAATTGTGTAATAAAAATATTGTTAATTTCATATTCTTTAACAGGTATAAATTTATAATTAAAAAAGAATTTAAAAATTACTGGTATATTTTAGCGATCGAAATAGCGACTGAAACAATTTGTAGCTAATTCAAGTTATTAGCGACCGAAATAGTGACCAAAATAATTTGTAGCTATTTCAGTCTTTAGCGACCGAAATAGCGACCGATTTAATTCGTAGCTATTTCAATTTTTTAGCGACCGAAATAGCCACTGATTTTATCCGTAGCTATTTCAATTTTTTAGCGACCGAAATAGCGACCGATTTTATTCGTAGCTATTTCAATTTTTTAGCGACCGATTTAGCGACTGATTTATAAAATCTTTTTTATTAAATAAATACAAAAATTAGCGACGGAAATTGCTACCAAAAAATTCGGTCGCAAAATTGGTCTCCAAAAGTTAGGAGACCAAAATTTTAGCGACGGAATTTTATTGTGTAGCGACTGATTTTTCGGTCGCTAATTTGCGACGGAAAGAATTTCGGTCGCTATTTTAAATAGCGACCAGGGTTTTAGCGACTGAATTTTTCGGTCGTTGAATGTATTAGCGACTGAATTTACCTAAATAGCGACCGATTTTGGTGGTCGCTAAAACTTGATTTTTTTGTAGTGGTTGCAGCAACCTCTCCAAGTGTGTCTCTCCTTTCTTAGGAATAACCTTGATGTTGGTTATTCCTAGATGTTTAGTCTTCCAAGGCTTTCCTCCAATGGAGAAGCAAGGTCTCCTAGGGCACCATAAACATTCCAATAAGCTACCTTTATAACTTGGCCTTCTACACCTTCAAGAAGCACTCAACACACCTTAAGTTGCTGGAGTTATATGGTAAAAACTGAAAAAGGATTAACAATTAAGAATAGCTACACCAAATGGTAGAGTTTAATGAGACAAAACAAGAAGGAACTCCAAATGAAAGAAAAACAAAAATTAAGGCACCAAAGAAAGGCTAGCACACAAAGGAAAACCTACCGATGGCTCTAGAATGGATTACCAAAATAAAATGTAAGATTAAAAAACAAAATAAGACACAATCTCAAGTGGTTTATGTCTGGACAGTTTTGAAAGTATGCAGCACTAAGCAAAATCCGAGAGCAACTTATAGCAAAAATTTTCTACTCCTTTGCCTTTTACTCATGTTCTTTCTTGTTTTCTTTTGTAATTATTTTGGAAACTTCTTTTAACTTTCTTTTCTTTTGTCACTGGAGTTTAATGCCTTTTTTTTATCACTTATAAGTCTCAGATTTGGTAATGAAAAAGGTTGCTAAACAATTTTCACAAACAAGAGGTATATAGATGTGTGTGTTACAAGTGCTCTTACTTAATCACCAATTTGTTAAACAATTTTAGGTAAACTTTTTCTTTGATTTTCTTGCACTTTAAAAAACCTAATACCTATGTTTTTCCTCTATTTTAGATGCACAAAAATAGGAACAAGTTTCAGCCACACAAGAGATTCAAAGAAATCCTAATAGGAAAAAATGTTTAGTAATTTTCCTGACAAACCTTTTATGAGACATCAAAGAAACCTAACTTTAAGAAAATTGCTAGAACTAATAGCAAATTAAGAACTCAAATATGTAAAATAAAAGCACATATAGGTCAGCACAAGATTAACAAATCAAAACTGCACCAAATAATGTCACAAAACAAAACAAAAACCAAAGGTTCAACAAGCTAGTCTAGGATTCAATGACATGTAAAAGGACTACACATGGCTCTAGATAAAACATATGATTCAAAAACAAAAACACATGCTATTCATTGTAATAATCCAATCACGGATTCATGTAATGGGATAGGCAAGACTCAAGAAAAATTAAAAGCAGAAGCACAAGAATACCTAAAGCACAAAACCGAATTGATTCAAGAGTAAAGGAACAAGCAACAAAATGAATCAATCAATTTTCATGTGACATGTGAATCCATAAAAATGTGAACAAGAACTAGATCCATTCAGAAAAACAAGCGAGACATGTAAAGGAAGATTGAGACATGACCAAATCAATTTAAAGGAAAAAAGAACATAACCTCAAGAGCACCAAGGCTCTAGATACCAAAAATGATGGAATGCAATAGAAGAAGTGATTGATGGCTTCCTCTAGACTCCATCTTCAATTCCTTATTATCTTGAGGTTGATTTCTTCGATGGAAGAAGCTAAGAGAAACAAATCCGAGCAAGTAGAAGCAACTTGAATGTGTTCGGTAACTTCCTCAAGAAGTTAGAAGAGTGATCGGTGTCGTACCCGATCAAATAAAATATGAAATTTATAGTACTAGAAAGTGACTCCTAGGTCATCTCTCAAGGAGCAACAATGCCAATCCGAGGTTCGTGTAATACAACCAAACACACACAAAAAGGGGTGGTTCAGATTCAATCAATGAAACAAGAAAGCAATGAAACAGTAAGTGATGAAACAGTGACTCTCCAACTTAGTTGTAGCATCATATCCTTGGTTAGAAATATTTTCTCACTGATTTAACCCTCTGTTTAACTCCAAGTAACGACTAAACGTCATTACCATCATTGAAGCCATACATACGAACAAAGCATTAGCACGCATCTCTACCCATAAGATTAAGCAAACCATGAGTAAAGTAAGGTGAACCAGTTAAGTTGAAAACGAAACCATCAAGCATGGAAACAAGACCAACACAACAGATTCATAAGGATTAAAATGTAAGAACACCAGGAATGAATAAACCTCAATGAATACATTTAACTGAGTTAGAGAGTATTACAATCTAGCCTTCCATGGAGGAAAACCAAGAAGAAGGAAAGCGAAAAATAAGAAGAAGAACTACTGAAAATAAGCTACAACAAAAGCAAGCACAAAATGCAGTCCAAAAATGGTATGTCTCTCTATCTTGTTTTTTAACCAAAATAAGGTGGTGGTTGTGTCCCCTTGTCCCCTCAAAGTCTGACCTAATATTGATGCCTAGTGTGCATCTTGTCCCCTACGAGTTTAAGTGCACTAGGTTAAGAGAGTGGGTTGGCCCAGTTGGCCCATCCAGCAACAAAAAAACAAAATTACAATTAAAATTTAAAATGGTGTTGAAGTTGGTCCACATGGCAAGCCCATGTGGTAGTGCTCCCAGTCCAATAAGTGATTCCAAATCCTCTGCAAAATAATTATGAAATTAATTAGGCTAATAAATCCAATTAACTAAAATTCCGAATTAATACCCAATAAACCTCAAGAAAGTAAAATATGGCAAGAGAGAACAATTAAGTACTGATAATACTTAATAGGGGGTTACGAAGGTAAGAAAATGCACGAAAATTATGACTTATCAAAGAGTAAGGCACCAAGGCACAAAGGAGGAACTCCTTTATGAGGAACCTAGGTAGAGAGAACATCTCCATGGTTTCTAAGGCTTTGGAAGAGAGAATTTTGAGAGGAAATTCTGAGTTTATTCATCCAAAGTGGGAGAAAATGAGAGATTTACAAATATATAGAAGTACATAGCTTAGGGAGAAAGCTAACCTTAACCATGGTTCAAGAGAACCATGGTTTGGTTGCTTGATCGGCCATCCTAGTTTAGGAGGCTCTTGGAGCAAGCTTCTATCTTAGCTTGCTTGGGAAACAAGATAAGTTAGAAGCTTGGAGCACAAGCTTCCCAAAGACTCTAAGAGTATAAGCAATTTCGGCCAAGGAAAGGAACTAGGCAAGCTAGGCAGCCTTGAACTTATTTGCTCCATGAATCCGTTTCAAAAATGTTTGATTTGGTTTAGTTAGGTTCATCCAAAAATGATGAGACCTAGCTAAATCAAATCCTTGAAAAATATGGAGCAAAACAAGTCTAATATGTAAAATTTTGCCTAGGCCCAATACTGACCCAATTGCTAAACACACCCTCAAGTCTTGTTATTTGCCACCCCACTTCTACTACTGAAAAATGTAAAAATGTTGACCTTTAATACAAGGTCAAATAGAGTAAAAGTCTCCAAAGAACCTACTCTAAATTCACTATATAATAATCTATAAAAATGAAATAAAGTGTCTCACAAATACAAAGGCAAAAAGTGACCTATATAATGAAAACTATATACAAGTTATATACAAAAGAACTATGCCTTCTCTTCATGATAAAGTGGTCTAAATGAAGAGAACCTTGGGCTTAGAAAACCCATTGGTCTTCAAGTTGTCCAATCCTTCCTGAATGCTCCTGGCCATAGCTCTAGTGATTGGGCCCTTGGCCCATGGTCCATCAATCAGACAAAGCATACAGTGTATCTATGTATATTTACTTATTGAGACTAATAATAAAGTCCATTAAATGTTTTATTCCTTAATAGATTGAACAAGAAAGATGTCTCAAAACTCTCAAAATTTGTTAAAGAAGTAAAAGTTAAATTATCCGTCAAAATCAAAAGGCAAAATCCTGGATATGATGCAAAAGCAGAAAAAGACTCTACAAGAACTACTCTGCATTGACATTACTTTTTATTTGTTCATTTTAGAAAAAATTGATGATAAGTAACTTTCTAGATCAGATAAGAGATATAAATTTTACTGAAAAACATTTAATGCTCGCATTAAATGAAGCAACAATAATCTCTCTCCTTTAAGATCAACAGTGAAGACAAACGAAGCAACTTGTGTGTTGAACTCAAAATTGTCACGATAGTCATCTTCTCTAAAGCTACTATATAAGGTTCAAGCATTCAAACAAACATGTAGAGACAAACACTCGCATACAAAGAAACACTCCCTATGAATTTTGTATAGATTATTTTGTACTTTCATTATAGATTGCAACAGTTTAGAAGAGATGAAAAAACCTCATTATCTCTTGTAAACTTTGTTGTAAATGTTTAGCCTGAAGATACTTGTTCGAAACTTGTTATTAAACTTAAAGAGGCTTGTTTGAAAGAATATTTTTTATTAAGCTTGGAGAAGCTTGGTTTTCAAAGAATACTTAGGATTGAGCTAGAAGTGACTTGTTGAAAGAATACTTATATATTGTCTATAAGATAGTGGAACTCAATCTGGTTGGATTGAGAACTGGATGTAGTCTCGGTAGTTGAGATAAACTAGTATAAAATTCTAGTGTTTCATCTGACTCTTCTCCAACACTTCGTCTGTTAAGTTTGTATCCTCTTCGCTACTCAAAAGTGTGAGTTTGTTATACACATTATTCAACCTCCTTCTAGTGTGTGTCTTTTCTCCACACATACTAAGACGAAACAACAAAGTCATTTCCTAATTTTAACTGTGTTATTGCTATGAGCTTGAAGATGCTTGACTGTCAAAAAATTCCTAGTTGTTGATGCTTTGAGAGGCTTTGTGTTCAAAGAATACTTGGGTAGTTATTTGAAAAGATACATAAGAAAACACTTAGATTAAGCCATAAGTGATTTGTGAAAGAATACTTATATATTTGTAAAAAATAACGAAATTTGATTGGGTTGATCAAGAACTAGACATAGTCTTAGTTGTTGAGATGACCAATATAAAAACATTGTGTTATTTTCTTTTAACTCTTCGTTTTCACTTGCAAGGTTTTATAACTACTTCATTGTTTAAAAAAAGTGTTAAATTTTTAATTGACATTATTCAACTCCCTCCTCTAATGTCTTTCCTTTCTTCACAATTTTTACATGAAAATTTTGAAAAAAGTTGCATTTGAACTAACATGGGTCTTGCATTAAACCAACTTGTTACTAACGATCCTATGATACATGACTATGGGTTTAAACATCAATGCCACTTTGTCTCTTTTAACTAAATTTTGCCTCCTTCCACCAGATTGCAAATACCATAACCAGCCCCCTCCAAAAATAAAAATTAAAGAAATAAAGTAGTACAAATGTAAAATCTAAAAGTTGACTAACAACAAATCTTATAAACCAAAACCCTACAGAATAATCATTTGTTTCATTCAAAATATATATATTTCTATATTAATTTTGATATTAAACCGATGTGACCAACTTTTACCAATTCTACCGATTTTCTACTGATTTGTTGCAAAGCAATTTTCGGGATTAACAAATTGGTTCAGATCCGATTAACGGTCACACCAACCGGTTCGATCCAATTTTAATAACCATGGTTAAATGTGTTCCAAAAATTTAACACTATTTTACTCCAAAATGTTTTAATAACACATAATATTAAAAAATTTAAATATATTTTCAGTTCTTGCAAAATAAATATATTTTAATTTTAATTTTAGTCTCTTTAAAAAATTTCTTTATTTTTCATATCTTTAATTTAAAATTCTGGTCCCCTTTAACTACTTATGTATTTATTAGAAAATTATATAAATATCTTAGATGATATTCAAGTGTTTGTCATACTTAATCTACATGTGATACTTCTAAAATTTTTATAAATCATTAAAATAAGTGTTATATATATACTTTAAAATGGTCATTAGGAACAAATAATAGTGACTATATTTTAGTATGTTTTAGAAGGATAAAAATAATATATATATA